ATCATCTTGTTTTTTTTTCAGCTACTATAAGAAAGGGGAAGATGAGCTCTAGAGGAATCACTCACTTTCCAAATGGTGTGAATCTTACGGATCTTATGAATCTTTTGTTTACTGAAATCCAATATGACGACTGACAGTTCCGTCGCCATTTTCAATTTGGATTCGATGGATTCATCAGATTCATCATATTCATGACGATTCGTTCACAGTAATGTGTTGAATCTGAGTGAATCTTTTGAATCTGTGTGTAAACATAAGAACACTGTTTGAATTTGGAAAAAGACTTCAATCATACAAACTGCATTGAATGATAAATTCCCCTAGGATGAGCTCTTTGTGGCGGAAGCTCAGGCATGCCCTTATGTGCCATAAACAGAGTGGTGTAAAAGGAATCGCGCCGCGCCATTTTCGTAAATCATTTCCCTATTTTGATACGACATTTCTACATCAACATTTTCAATTCACTTAAACGAAAAAATGTGTCACAAAAGAAAAATATTAGATTTCGAATTGAATAATTTTTGTAAATAATTTTTATCATTTCAATTTATTTAATAAACATTTCAAAACGATTTCAATGTTGCAATGTACCGAATGATGTACTAGAATAAAACCGATGAGAGTAGCACGAATGACAGGAACGATGAATACATACATGCGTAAAACACTAACGCCATTTAACTTGAAGCAAACACACACGCACTACACAACAAAGCCGTAGCTGTTTCATGCCGATATAATCATTCGCCCGAATTCGTGCTTTGAATATTTTTATTAATAAACATTATTAACGCGCAAAACAACTCCAAAAATAAAAAAATTGGTAAGATTTACTGTTTATATTTTATTTAAGATAGACTAAACTATCCAAATATTCATTTTCGTTTTCCTTGCGTCGTCCATTCGTATGATTCATTTCCAATATATGAAAAACTATTTCGGGTGAATTCCATATGTTTTTTTTTCGGTCACCTTTTTACGTTCCGCCATTTTTAATACTGCTTTTTTCTGATGGTTTAGATAATGGCAAAAACCAGAGCTCAGACCCCAAAAGAATCAAAATCAATCAAAGCCATTCCAAAGCAGTTGTCAAAACGATTTAAGAGAACAAATTCCAAATCAAAACCGACGGAAATTAAGGTGCCGCGCGAGTATCAAACATGTTGTGTTCGATTAACAAAACTTGGTCCAAACGAAATCAATCTATGGCTAAATGGCCAGGGCCATAGCCAAAACCACAGCCAGAAAAACGTTTTAAAGAAGAAATATGAGCTCCGAAAGCGCGCGCCCACAGCTAATATCCCGAAACCGGTCGAAAAATCATTGAAACAGCTTGTAGTCGCATCTCAGATGGCCTTTTGTACCGCCAAAGCAGTTCGAATTTGGGAGAGTGTTAAAAAAGAGAACGAAAAAAAAATTAACTTGAAAATCGATCAAATAGTTTGTGCCCGTATATCTGGTCACCGCCCGTGGCCTTCGAAAATTATTGCTTTCCAAAAGAATGGCATCAAATTGAAATTTTACGGTACCCATGACGTTGGTGTAGTAAAAAAAAGTGAAGTGATCCCATACGAATTGTGCGCAAATGTTTTAGAACAATATTTGAAAATAGGCACCGATGTAGCGAATAACCGATTGTCTTATCATCTCTCTTTCGTCAAGGCCTGTAAAGAGACTTCTACTCAATATGACAAAACGCAGTATTGAATCAAATGGAGGTGATGTGCCAGCACCGAAAAGACGACGAGATAATGAATCATCTCGGAAATTACCCAAAATTTTCGACGGAACGTATTTCGAGGTCACAGAAAACGACAAAGAAAGTAAAGCCATAGCTGCATAGTGCAAAAAATGCATAAAAGAAAAAATAATTCGCGGCCAATCTTCTTCAACCGGCAATTACTACACACATTACTCAAGGACGCATCGTGATGATTACGCAAAGATGAGAGAATACTGTGACGAGCGAACTGAAAAAAGAGTAGCAAAAAAAGAAATATCCAAAGTCCAAGCAACCTATATCCAAAGTCCAAGCAACCTTGCCATTTATGCCTGGATCAATCGACCAACTAAAGGTGAGATTAATTGACTTGTTTTTTACCGAAAAATAAAAATTTATCAACAACAAATCTTTTTTCTGCAGTTCATTTAATTATCCGTCTATTTTATCATATACGGTGATGGTCAGGCGTTAGACAGATAATCGAATATCTACTGTATTAGTTGATTAACATTCAATTTGTACTTTTTTTGGTTCGCGATTTAACTTTGAAGTTTATTGCCAGCACAAATTCGGCATTCCGAACCGTTGAAAACAAGGAATTTATTAATTTGATTGAATATGTGTCAAAAGCAAAACTGCCCACAAAGAAAACGCTGATGTCTGACTTGCATGAAAAATTCAAACTTTTGAAAGCTAAACTCAAAGAGGAAATTGCAAAGGCAAAATTTGTCTGTCTTACCGCCGATGTTTGGACGAATAAGAGCCGAAGCTTTTTGGGTGTATCAATACATTTTTTTGACGACGAACTGGTAAGGCAATCGTACTTATTAGCCTTTAGACGAGTGAATGGACGACACACTTATGGTGTATTGGCCGAAATGATATTGGCAATTCAAAGAGAATTCAATTTAAAACGAGGCAAAATCACTCTCATTGTGACCGATGGTGCAAGTAATTTTAAAAAGGCATTTATTGTGTTTGGGCAACCAGACGTACACTCCACACGCTTGACTAGAATTTTGTTTGACATTTTGCTCCTATGGACGCCGCCATCTTTGAAAACGTTTGAAAATGGATGCGTTCAATGAAATGTAACTATGGTCGTTTCAGAGAGTAAATAGAATTTGTCGGAATTTGTTATCTACTTAAAATTGATACATTTCTCTTATGCGTTCAGTTTAATGAGACACAATCGGAGTCATTCGGGGGAAAAACCGAATCAATGTAACGTTTGCTTCAAAAGGTTCACAGCCAAAGACGGCCAAAGATAACCACAAAGCCCATTCAAGCGTACACAGCGATGATAGACCGTTTGTTTGCGCCAACTGTGGGAAAACGTTTAAGAGGAAGCGACTTTGGAGAGATCATAACAAAACTAACGAAACAAATCGTCCTAATGAGATGCTTTACGCATGCGATGAGCGGCGATGAGTGTCCATCAAAGTTTACAAATATCGCAGGCCTAAATCGTCATAAACAAACCATGCCGGTGTTAAGCGTTACAGATGTGTGATATGTTCCATTGATTTTTCAATTCGACAACATTACATTATACATATGGATATACACTACAAGGATACACACTCAAATCTGATGTTGTTCAAGTGCAAACAATGTAATAAGCACTTCAACTCGAAGAAGGAATGGTGATGATCCATAAAAAAATACACAAATCTTACAACTGTACTAATTTAAACCGACCAAATTACAGACTTATCCAAAATACAATGGTGAACGCATTGGCTGCCGTTGGCTGCCGCTATTGAACCATCATTTGATTGCACGGTGTGCTCAAAGTCATTCAATTCCAGAAGTGGTCTCAAACGGCACATACAAATCCACTCCAACGACAAACGGTTCCAGTGTGAAATTTGCTCAAAACGATTTCAGCTACAGAGCTTTTTAACAAAACATATGAAAATACACACTGGGGAAAAGACTTTCAACTGTATTCATTGCGAAAAGATTTTTGCGACGATCACGGTTGGAATTACACAAGCGATCACATTTGAATCAAGCCTACCTAGATATTCAATCTGGTATTAAGTCATTTCATGATTGATGAATTTATGCATTTTCAAGTCAACGAGTTTTTTTATCCATATGAATATATCGATATTTTTGTAAACTATTCCAGTATTTCAGAGCGATGCGATCAATATATTTTTTAGAAATAGTTTTTTCCCGTTACATTTAAGTTTGGAACATGTATCGATGTTATTCGATCAATAGTCACTCTCAATTAAATACCACATGAAAAAGATGTAAAGAGTTTTTTTTTCACTTTTATCTCGACCAATCAACCTGTTACTGACACGAATGATGTTTCACAAAAAAATTATCTTTATTCGTAAATTAATTCTGCATTTTGATTTTACAACAATGAATCGTTAAAAATTCGTTTTAAAAAAGTTACAGGAAAAGATGTCTAAATACAGTGAGTAAGTTTATAATGACAGACATACTCACTGTATTTTTGTGTGTGTGTAAAGTGAGGGAATCAATACAATTTGAGTTTCGTAGAAATACAATTTGCGGGAATCAAATACTTGTTGTATTTTTGTAAAAAAAAATTAAAAATCACATCCGAACATTTTAAGATCGAACCAATGTATTGTTAACGAAATGTGATTCGGCTCTCTTGATTTCGACCAGGCCTTGTTTCAAATCTTCTTCGGCCCATTTAATGTTGACAAATAGTTCTTCCTTGAGATAAATGGCCAATGGACGAGCATTTGCTAGCTTTGCACGTTCCGGCACGTTCTTTGCTCAGTTTACCGAGGCCAATCTTCTGTGGACTTTGCATGAACGTCTTGTTTACGTAGATCTTCATTAATTTTGCTGAATGGCAAACGAATGGCACAATTGCATCAACACTATCAGTATACGCGTAGATTTCTTCCAGATTGGTGAGGTTCTGTGCCAGTATTTCTGCTTCAACACGGAATAGAATGGCGTCCAAGTAAAGTACCTTCAGACTTTACATTGCCGCGATAACATCTTCAAATACTTGATTGGCCGTAATCGCTTCCAGATACGGCATCGGTCGGCATCGGTGGGAATTTGGCCGCAACAAACTGTATGGAAAATTGAGGTAATGAATATGATATTATTTCATTATTTTTAAAAATAATTCCGTACCATCGATGTCGATCGATGTGGTTGGTATCATTTGTAATTTTTTGAATTGTCCTTGTTGATGCAACTGTTCAATACTTTGGAAGATTTGTTTCATATTTAAATCAACACCAAAATCGATATCCAGGCAAAGTTCTTCAAATTTGATGCCGGCACTGGTGATCAACTGTTTCAAACGGTTTCAAATTTGTGCAGTATTTCAAGAAACAATCGTAGAAGTCGGTGGCAAATGAACAATCTTCAAACTCAACAATTTCGACATTTTTCAATAAGTCTTCAATGCATCTGCCATGCATTTCGGTTAAGGCTTTTGCTTCGAGGATACGGAGTTTTTTCGGTGTTTTGTTGCAGAAAGATCCAACGTGTCGGAAAATAACCGGCTGTCGACCTAAAATGAATGGAATGAAGCCGTCAATACCGGTCAATACTGAATGACACAAAAACACTTTTAAATTGCTGTATTTAATCTGCCCACCTCGGATTGCAATATTTTGGAAATATTCACGGAATCGTTGTACGTACAATTCTCTGGGCTAATATTCAATTCTCCCCGATTCTCCCCCGTAAATGACTGTCCATTTTTATCGATTTTTATCGTGATCCTTTTCGTCGGATATTTACGTCCGAAGTATCGGCTCACAACATCTTTCATTCGTTTGCACGTTGTGCTCAGGCTAACCAAATCGGATAACGATAACCATTCCAAAATTTCTTCAATACAATTGTCATCGATTGTCATTAATTGACATCAATTCAGTCTTCGGTGTATTATCGCTGGGGTCACGCTCTATAACCTCGAACGACCTCGAACAGAAGTTTTCGCCTTTTTTGCTTTCTCTGCCTTGAATCACGCTTCTTTCTTTTCGTACCAGCCATACTGCAACTATTGTCCTATTTTTATTTATTTAAAACAGCACGATTATAATCAATGTAAACTAAAATCCACGTCAGAAAAACTATTTATTACTGATATTAACAATCATTACCTCGCATTACCTCAACTTTCCATACGATAGCTTCTAAATTAAACGTCAAACTAGAAATTGCGAGAAATTGTGCGGAATCACAACCAAACTGAAGTTTAACGCTTAAGCGTATGACGTTTCAATGCAAATGATTAGTGGCGCATTTTTTTAAAAGTCTTTCGTAACATTTATTTTTCTTGGTTCTTTTCTTATTTTTGTTGAAATATTTCATATTATAATTCATTCATTTTCATTATTTCATATTTCATTACTTGGAATAGATTTTATTCGTTGATTAAATTATCAGAGTCATTTTGATGAGTATTCGTCGGTATTCGTCAACAGCAGGCCGCAGCCGGCCGCAGCAGGACCGAGCAGCGCCGAGAAGGACTTTGCTTTGAATATTGTGTGTGGTTTGCTCGGGTTTGCTCAGGTTTACTAGACGTTTTTGGCCGTTTTTGGCCACTTCAGTCGACTTCAGTTGATTGTTTCGGGTTGTTTTTCACATTTCTTTTCGTTTCTTTTCACAACAACAATAAACATTTAAAGACCATTTATCGCCATTTATACACGTTTATACCTTTCGGTGTTTGGTCTGTTTCGAATCAGTAAATCAGTCAATTTCTTTTCGTGTCGATTTTTCTTGAATTTTGTGTAAAATATTTTATTGCAATTTAAACAACTGAATGTGGTTTTCTCGGGTTTTCTCATCGTGTTCGTCGGTGTTCGTAAATATGTTCGTCGACTGCATTTTTTTCTCGAAATTGTTTCCGATTGTTTCGGGTATTTTTCACGATTTTTCCCACGCAAACAACGTTTCCTTCGGTTTCCTTTGACGTCCTTTGAGTGTTTTGTTTTCATGTGCGTTCATGTGCCGACTTAAATATTGTAATGTTACGTTACCTATAAAATGACTGATATGATTATTTCTGAGCGAATAGGAATGAATTTTCCGGAATTTTCACTTGAATGATATTGAAAGAAAAGTATGTTTTGCTGTAAATGTGGTGATATTAAGCCGTATTAAGCGATATTAAGTCCGAATAAGTCAGTGTTCAAAACAAATGTGATTCGTATCGATTCGTATTTTCGAAAATATAGATTTTTTTTATTTTAAAATTCAAATGTGAACATGAATTGTTTTATCAATAAACTTAGATAAACTTAGTCGAACAAGCCGGAACAAGCTGGCGATGAACAATTTGTTTGCAATCGTTTGCAATAACCGCTAGAATAACTGGCAATACGTAAACATGAACGCCGATGGTCGCCGATAGTCTCCCGTAGTCGCCTTACTGAGCGTTACTGAGTTTCTCCCGGTTTCTCCAATACGGTCCAATGTGTAGGATTCGGTAGGATCTGACGGGATCTGATGCTGTTTGATGCCATCGCCATTCGATGCCATTAAGCCAGCGACTATACGTTTTTCCGGAAATTAGTGAATTATGGATAAAATCGGATATAATTAATTGCGATTAATTGGTTTGTTTCGGTTTATTTAAATTGAATATAAATTCGAATAAATTACCCCCAAAAATATTGGAACGTGCGTGTGAGAACAAAAATGGCATTTATATTCTCGTCCCAAAAATCAAAGTGCTTGATGATGTTGTTGATTTTTTCATTTTTTAAAACATGGTCATTGAAATTTTTCACTGGAGAACGAATGGATTTCAGAAATGTATACACTTTTGGAATGAATTTCACTAGGAATTTCATAACAACGAGCACCACGCGCAACATTTTTTGCGATTTTTCTGGCCGTTTTTCGAGGTTTTTCGCCGTTTTTGACTTCAAAACAAATAGAAACAAATTGAATATTTGCAAACCGTTGTGAACGTTTGCGAATATTTGAATATTAGCTCCGAACGACTTCGAATAACTCTCCAGCTCGCTCCAGCTCGATCCAACTCTCTATATCGCTCTATATAATTCCGTATAATTCTAACTTGTCCGTGGATGAACTCCGATGAACTCAAACTAAACTTTTTGTGACATTTCGGTTTTGTGGTATCTCGATCCGTCTCGATCCGTCTTCTCTCGTTGCGTACGATGTCCGATCATGTCAAAATTAGTGTCCGTTAGTGTCGAAGCAATGAACATTTTTCCGCATTTTCCTATTTGTATAATCGTGTATGTAAAAACAAACAAATTTTGTAAACACTTGACAACGCTTGACGACACTTCAGACGTGTAATCGCGTGTAGTTGATCCGAGTTGATCATATGATAGCCAATCGTAGCCAATGTGGGAACGTGAAGGAAGCGATGCAAAGAATCAATCAGAACAGAATAGTGTAGAATAGAAAACAACGGAAAACAATGATATGCATTCATCAAAAAGAAAAGAGTAGAAAGAGAAATTGAAAAAAAAATACATCCGAAATTCAAATACGTTCAAATAGTAAATGTTTTGTTTGGTTTCGCTTGATTTTTTAACTCGGTTCTTGAGTATATTACGGTATATTATTCGACGATATTCGATGGTATTTGCCAACACCATTCAAACTTTTTGAAGCGATCGCGCCCGATTGTTATTTGCGGTTATTTGTCGTCTTGACGTATGTTTACCGATGTTTACAAACATTAAGTACGCGTTGATTTTTAAATATGTATTACACTCTATACTCAATCTTACTTAATACTTATCAGCTAGCTTCATTCCGCTTCATTCGGCTTCGTTCGGCTTCTCGTATCCGCTCGTATCTACTTGCGTATCTAAATTACATTTTCAAAAAATAGAAACGTACTCTTTTGTTCCTATTTTTTTTCTACCCTTCGTGGCCGTTCGTGACCTTTGTCTCGCTTTGTCTTTTACAGCGTTTTACAGTGTTGTAGCATATTGTACTTAAACTGAGAATGGCAATAAAGATAAAAACGGAAAAAGATAGAGAAAAAGGCAAAAATCGACAAAAACTACCGAAAACTGCACACAAAAAACAAGATAACGATTTATCCAAGTTATATTCAATTTCAACTTATTTTTTTATTCATTTTCAGCATCGTTTTCATTTGAGTCATAAATTTGATCATCGATGGGTAGAAGAATTGGATGAACATCGTATACAACGCTTTCTTGTACAACTGGTTTTGGAAATTGAAATGGTTTTCCTTCAATATGTTTGAATGTTTCATTCAACTCACAAAACTGAAGTAAATATTCCCAATTCGGATCTTTGATCAGTGTCTTGGGATCACCAAAAATTATCAGTAGGCTTTGTGCTCTAGTAAGCACTACATTGATGCGCTGAAATGATAGTTTTTTTGTATTTGAATTAGTCGGAACGTGTTATTCAACAAAAATATAACGAATTGTAATAATAACCGATAATATCGGATTGAAAAATACGGAAAAATGTTAATTACTTGTGCTGCGTTAACAAATCCAAGATCTCCATCGGTGCACACTGTAGATACAAGCATTATAGCCTTTTCCATTCCTTGAAACACTTCAGCGGTTCCGATGGTTATACCGTCATATTTTTTTTTGTTACACATTTTTCTAATTTCTCTGCATTGAAGTTTGTAGGGTGACACGATTCCAATGTCAGTACATTTAACCGATTTAACTTTTCTTTGGTTTGATTTGAACTTCAATAGCTCATCAATTTGTTCTAAAACAGCGTTGGCCTCTACCATATTGAACCGGCTTGCGCTGTTTTCATTTTGTTTACAAACACCATTCACTGATTTGAATATTATTGGTACATCTGGATTCATTAGGATTTTGGAGCCGACAAACCAATTAACCCTTTCTAAAATATAATAGAACGAAAAAAAAATACTAATAAAAATATTGAAAGTGAATGAAAGAGTATAAGGTACAAAATTCGTTTTTTACCATCAGATCCACATGAGATCAATGTGCTTTTATAAAACAATGCATTTGCCACATGCAAAATCGCCTTATGTGATCGATAATTCTTTATCAGTTGCGTGATGCAGTCTGAGTTATTGTTCATCGTTCCCGACTGTGGTTGGTGAACTTGACCGTTACCGTAGGCAGGTAGGTTATATAACCGCTCCATTAAGGATGTTTTAAGGCCCAGTCCCGCAGCATTATTTGATTTGCATACCGCATCTAATTGTTTGGGATCACCAGCTAAAATAATGTTGGCGTTTATGCGATTTTTTTCAGAACACAGACCTAATTTGAGATTGAAATAAATAAATCATATTAAATCGTATTGGCTTCAGAAATCGCCAGAAATATATAAAAAATGGACCTGCAATTGGAATCAACGTCGATATTTCAGTAGTGCTCGCACATTCGGTCGATTCTCTCCAGCCCGACAATTTTCGAAAAATGAAAAATCCTTCGGTGGAAAATTAGTGCTTAATTAGTGCTAATTAGTGCCACTAAAATTAGAATTGGTGC